CTGGGGAGGCGGACGGGACCAAATACATGCACAATATCTTTTACATATACACGTTATTACAGCAAACAATAATTGTTGTCACACCTATACATACAGTGTACAAATATCTCTATATATATTTGTACAACTGTATCGATTATTTGGTTTCTTCCATTCAATAGCAATCAGGTCTCGCCTCCAGCACCCTGCAGGTGGAGCTGGGAGTCAAAGCCCGGCAGCTGCTCGAGGACGCCCGGGAGGCGACCGATCGAGAGGGCGGTATGTCGCGGATTGCTTGTCCTCTGGGGGAACCCTCTTACAGGCCTCAGAATTCCTTGCAAAAATGCCCCCCCGCGACAAGCGCAAAACAAACGAAACATAGGTCTGGGCCCTCAAGATTATTTGAACATTGGTCATTGACCAAAAGTATGGGGGTGAATTCCCTTTTTTATGGCTAGTTGGAGGGCCAGGATAAAGTTGTGTTTGACTTGTTTGTTTGTTTTTTTGGACTTGGGGGTTTGCTCGTGCAACTAAAATAATTTGGGGGTGCTAAATATTGAGATTCGACCCCCCAAAAGAGGGGGGCTGTGCCGACAGGCAAGGAATGGGTGGGACGTGGGCAACGAACAGAACTCCCACCTCAAGACCCGGCTGCAGGGGACTGCTGGTTGATGCTGGCGCTCACGACTGGTGTGACAGAACACGGCCAGGCTGATGTCAGCGCAATGCCAAGCAGATCTGAAGGCAAAGGACCTGGACAGGCCTTTGGCGGTTGAGGGCGTCGGCAAGAGTGCCCAGAACGCCAACACCGTATCGGACGCGGAGGTGGAGGGATATGCATGGCCTTTTGCTTGGGCGCAGGCTCGAATCTGCCACCTCTCTTGGGCAAGACACATCACACAGTCGATAGAGCCACCATGGCAGCTGAAGGCGATTGGGGGAAACCAACAACTTGTTATTTTCCATTTTAGACCATCCAGAATACAGAAGGGGGAAATGGTCCCAGATTGAGTTGCCAATGGAACAATACGCAGCAGATACCTCGGAATAAACAAACATGTTTGCTGTGGGCACACCTTGCGGGGAACTGTTTGAAACCAGTTGAAGGCCTCCTGGGCCCCAAAGCCTGGCCGGGCTCTGTTTGTCGTGAGGTAGTTTGAGGCTGAGTTCGCGGTTGGGAACACCTGAGATCTCTTGACCTTGTTGTTTCCTTTCTTTTGAGGGGTTTTCATCTGACGCAAGAAAGGGTGTCTCTTTGTCCTGTTCACTGAAGGTCTCGGTTTTTTGGAAAGGCAACCACTTGATGTGTGCGATAATTCCTCAAATGGGGTGATGTTTCAGGGGGGCGGAGTCTGGGGAGCTCATGCGTAGCTATTGAGACTGGTCGATCAGTGCCCCTTGTTCGTTTTATGCAGGCAAGTCGTTTGCAAACCCGAGTTGGGTTACCCTGAGCTGGGTGATCACGTCCCGACAGTCGTGTCATTTGATGTCTATGAGACTAGCTTGGCCTGGAGTCGTGGGCCTTTGCTGGTGCTCAGGCTTGGTTCCTTCAGAGTTAGGCATGCACAGGTAGAGTTGTTACTGGACTGGCGTGTTTTGACCAAATCTCCCATTCGGATTAAGATGTGTGGCTTGGTATCCCGGTTTTTCGTTGTCCCAGGTGGTTTGGAGTGATTGCACTTGGAGTTCTGCAGGAAAGTAAGAATTGACAGGTCCCGTATTGTAGAGCTGTTACAAGCGTTGTTTGTTTTCGGCCAAACCATAGGGACCGACAGTTTTGCAACCGGGCAGGGGCACTTCTATGTGGGTCCCTTAATGTCTCTTTGGGAAACTGATGGACGTTGCAAAAGATAAATTGATAAGTAAATGCCAACTTTAGATGAATTGGAAACACCATGCTAATCATGCGTGTTTTTCTGCTACATTCAGTTTGTGTTGGGCAAAACCCACATTTTTCATATGGTCCTCCGAATGAATCCGCCGTTGATTCCGTTGATGGGGCTTCATCCAGCTCTGGGCAGTTTCAGCTCGCATCACGCACAGAGGTTCAGCAGAGCTGCCTCCAAAAGCAAGGCAGGATGCGCATGGGTCTGTGCCGTGTTCCAAAGGCCCAGTCCAAGACACCCTATATCCTAGAAAACGGTTTGGATGCGCCTTTTGTGGATTTCACCTGTTCTTCCCCCTGTAGGTTCTTTTTTTGTACTCTTTTAGTACTCTTTTAGTATCCCACAGGGGTGGATCCACAAAAACCGCATCCAAGCGGTTTCCTAGCTCTTCCAATACATTTTGCACGTTTGTTCCTTTCGAAGGTGCAAGGGAAGCAATGTATGGGGGTGCCATAGGCGTTTTTGGATTTTTTGGTTGGTAAAGTCATCCACTCAGGAAGTTTGGATGGCCACTGCAAGGAACCATGACCCAAGTGAGATGAACTAAAGGACGCCCAAATGGCTCCTTGATAGCGAAGTCGCAAAGGGTCAACCCGGCACACCCATGTGCTGGGCAGTTTGGAGAACTAGCTGACCTTGGGGGTGAATGGTGATCTTTCGGGCTTTTCATGTGGTCCCAGAATCCAGTGGCTGGGGGCATCATGTTAAGCCCAACCACAAGTTTAGACGTCAACAAGGTTAGATGCGAATGATTCTATCGTTTTGAGGGTTTTTGTATTACACCCTGGGACTACACCCTTGGGAAATGACCCAGAATGGTTCAAAACAACACGGTTTTTATCTGGAAATGTGCCTAAATGGGGTCAATACCCAGTGGGTTTATTATTCCCAGGGTGTAATGCCATTTTTTTTGGAATTATGGCTATTCCCGGGAATTTCCCGGCTCTGGGAGGCAAAGAACGTTGCCAGTGATCCAACGAAGGGTACACGTCAAGTGTGTCAACGTTGCCCAAGTCGAAAGCTTCGGAAGTCTTCGCGACCTGAAGTCACGGTCTTATGTTCCACCTTTCACATGGTTGTTGGGACACATTTTTCCCACGTTGCTTCTTGTGGTTTAGGGGGAAATCCCCACTTAACTGCTAAAATTTGATTTTTTGCTCCCCTTCCAACGTCAACCGAGTTCATGTTCATAGGTCAAGTGAGAAAAGGACAAACAAGGAGGCCTCCTTCAAAGGGTGGTTCACAGGCGCAAGCAGGGGTGACCGACGATGTGTCGTGTTTTTTGTTGGCTTGCTTTTTGTTCGGCTTGGCTTGGAGTGAAGCTACAGGGAAACACAATCGATTGTCAGATTTTCTTAAAATCACAAGGACATCTCAACATGGAGATTTGGCCCTTGTGATTTTACCCCCAGGAGTTCCTGTGCATTCAAGTTGGGGGCATGGCATCCCACCCCAGGCCATGTCTTTGACACCCAAGTCCCCGTCAGAGTTGGGGTCTTGGGTCCCGGAAAGTGGTTGGATTTGGAGGGGTTTCCCAGATACGTTGCGTGGTTTTGGCTTTAGACATGGTTTTAAGAGTCATGTGGGTGATTCCAATTGAATGGAGCCAGGATGAATTACTCCTATGAACATGGATCATTTTCCCACTGAAAGGATTCCTGAGACGTGTCCACGTTTCATGCTGGATGTGGCCCCTCGAGAAATGAACTACGTACGGTTTTCTTAAGTTAAGATGATCAAAACATGGACAATTGGTTGGTGGGTCGCCATGTGTTATCCTAGTGCCGTTTGTGCAGTTGCAAACAAAAGGTTATAAAGCAGATTATCTGGGTATGGGTCAAAATACAACCACCAGGGGACCGCAGGTTTTAGTCTTTGGTTGCATTTACCAGGGTTCCATTTTGGGTACGCATTTTTGACCCATAGACATTTGTTCGTGCAAGGAGCTTGCAAAATGTTTATGGGTCAAAATTAAACCATCAGGGGGCCGCAAGCGCCGCAAGAAGTACCACATATCGCAAGCGCTCCGCTAGTGAGTCGGGAAGCAAGCATGATTCAGAGGGCATGTGCGCACATGCAGATATATCATTGATTTACTTTGCTTGCGTAGAGATTCTCTCACAATGATGTAGACGATGCCTCGTATTGAAGACCCCTGGAACGGGTACCCTCCCCCAGACTAACATGGAAGCTCCCCGGACTCTTTTGGACTACTTGGTTCCATTAACAGAGGCCTTCTGGGAGCTTCCATGTCAGTCTGAGGGCGGCTCGGCCCGCGATGTTTGCACGCCCGGCGGGTAGAGAGTTTTGAAGTTCGGGGTCTCGGACAGGATCTCGCCCAAAAGCCAAAAGTCTAGGGGTACTGTACCTCCCCCGTTCTTTCTAGGTATCCGGATCTTTCTAGAAAGCCTCCGGAAACCGATGGGAAACCGATGCGGCTGGTTTTCGAAAACGATGGTTGAACAGAATGGGGAAACAACCCCTAGAAAAAGAACTCGCGCGACCGCGCTGCGCTGTTTTAGGCCCTGCGGACTATGGCAGCAGCCTCGGTGTGAAGCGGGGGGTTGGCTAAGAGGGCATCCAAAGGGGTGTGAGGCTCTATGCGGGTGGGTACCCTTTGTTTGGAGTTGGTGTAGCATGTTTTTTTTGGGCGGGGGGGGCCTTATGTTGGTGCATACCCATATTTACTTTGCCACTGAGGGCCAATAATTCTACAGGCGAGCGCTCAGCTGGACGGGAGGGGCAAGGCTTCAAGGGGGGAGGGGCCAGGCCGCCAGGCCCTGAGCTTGATCAATGTTGGTTGAGTCTCCTTGGGCGCAGTCATGTTTTTCATTTTAGTGGCAAATATACAGTTTGGACTTTTTTTGGGCCATCCACTCAGCAGGTGAGTTTTACAGCAGGGCGCCAAGCTGCAACCCACAAGGCTTGCTTTCAGAGCTGTGACCCGTTCGAGCAGAAGTTGAAAACGAGCGCAAATAGCCGCAAACGAGCGCAAATGTACAATGCTCATAGAAAACACAAGGGGCACTTTTTGCATTCGGGCTGAACAGTGCCAAATTGAACACAAGATGTCAGCAGAGACAAATGCGAGGTCAAATGTAGTGGAAGCTCCGGGTAGGGATTGTGGAATCGGCCATGCAGCCCCCAGAGAATCGGCCCTTGAGAATAGGTGGGTTCAAGGGAAACCTGGAGAAGAGTACCCTTTCCGAGGTTTTCAACTTAAAGGGGCAGGTTACTCAGTGAGTCTGTAAGCCTGCTATATCCCACCTCCCATGATTGCAAGTCTCCTAAGTGGGTTATAAACAGGTTTACGAACCACTTGCTAAGTACCCGATCGCCCCTTTAAGAAGGAGAACCAACTCTGAGAGGCGTTCCAACCTATTTGGGTATGAATTTAAAAAAGGACCCTTTGGTGGACATCATTTAGGTGGGGATTTATGTCCACCAATCACTTTTCTGGTGGTTCCCCATCAAATTTTCAGTGGAAACCCCAACAAATCTACCCTTTTTCCAAGGCCCTTTGGGGTTTAAACCTAGGAAAACCCAACTCTTTGAGAGGTCTTCCCATCCATCCGAAGACGCGCCCAGACCCGAGGCGTCGGGCCCGATCGGCGGCTGCCGCGCTTGTCCTGAAGCCCAAAGCCGAAGCAAAACTTCGGGGATGTCTCGAAATGGCCATGGCTCAAAATCCCGTACCCCCCACAAAATGATACCATTGGTTTTGACCCACAGCCAAATTAGGGCGGTCAATTTGTTGTGCAGACGCCCCAACAACAAGTTTTTGTTAGGAGAACACCCCCCCAAAAAAAAAGATGGAGTCGATTTTTTCAGGAGACACCCTAAAAAACGTGGTGGAGTTTCTTCTAGCTTGGTGGCAGACACCCGATGGATTTCCTTAGCTTTCCTTTTAACGCCAGAAGTTAGGGTACCCTCAAAAATAAGACTCTCAAATGGTGATCCTGGGTACTAAGCAAGGGGGTCCAGCATTTTGAGAAACTGTTTGTTGATGGGGGTTAAACTATGACGTGCTGTTCACTGAAGAACAGTTTGGAGGGAACACAATCCACACGTCTGTTTGCTATATCTCCCCTAGGGTTCAAACCACCATTCAAACAGCGGGGGACCATTTAATCGCCATTCTTTCCCTAAGGATTGTCAATTCCGATAGGGTCCCAAGGCCATTCTTATGGGGGTTGAACCCTAGGGGCTCTACTTATCTACCAAAGAGATGAGACCAGACGTGTGTCTACCGGCTGGCTGCAAGATGCATCCCAGCCCGGAGTGCAGAAGAGATGCGCTCCGCGCGAATGCTCGCTCGTGAGCGTGCGTGATCGAAAGTGTTTGCGTTGGAGAGAAAGGGGCCCACGGCTTGGAATCACAATCGACAGCTTTCAAGGTGATAAGAGCGGACCCGAGATGCCCTCCATCCAACAACCATGGACGCCCAACAAAGATATTGAAGACCGCCATGCGCGGACGGCCCAGTTCCATTGTGGGAGGGCATGTGTTGATTACATTTTGACTTATGGTATCGAAACGGCCAGCTGGCCCATGGTTTTTCCAACCCCCGACAGGTGAGTCACAATCAAAACCTGGGTAATTGGAGGGTAGTCAGGGACTCTAAACCATGGCTCTGGGTAGACCATTCCAATACCGGGTTTTCATTACAACCCAGGTGTGGTTGGTTGTAGAGCCAAATAGCTCAATTGTCATTTCCTGGATAGAGGACATTGGTTGCAATGGGGAATTGTTGGATTTCACCACTTCCACTATTGATCACGAAGGTTCTTGGATTTTTCAATGCCATCCGCTCACAAGCTGTTGGTTTTGGCAAAGGGCATAGCCCACTCGGTTGTTCTTTGGGTGCAGACTTTTTGGGAATATAAACAATGGAGATGTCCAGCACAAGCAACCAACAGTCTCCAAATCTGGGGTTCCACTTGTTGGTAGAGAACCACAGAACTCAGTCAAACAGTCCAAGCGATGTCAGCTGGGGAACCGACAAACATCGCTTTTGCTCAGTCGAACGCTGCGACACCGCCCCGACATCGGGGAGTCCGATCGTCATGGTTCGACAGGCAATGGAGGGCTTTCCTGACAACATCAAAGACATTGTGGATGCGGGCCGCACTGGGCTGCAGGCGAAGCGCGGAAGATTTGGACGTGTTTGCGCGCGTGCGTTTGTTTCTGTTGAGGGTTGGGGAAGCTTATTGAGGTTGGGTGGTATACGGGAAACCAAAAAGGACACCGCCATTCGGGTGCCCTACGGAAGCTGACGGGATTTCTGGTCTAATAGTCCGCTTACCTATTCCATTGTTCCTTGTCAAGCAGAGGACCCCCAAAATGGCGTAACTCTTCTCAAGGTTCTCACATGCTTTGCCACTTCAAATGATTTGTGACCCTTGTGTTCCCACATGTTGTCTGGCCTGTTATGGAATCACCGCGGAGCTTTTGTGCGCATAAGGATGCCTTTTCTTGCGCTGATGTGTGATCACCTCAAAATGACTGTGGATGGACGAAATCCTGGACCAGTATTATTACAGGGCTTCATCCATCCCAACTGGTGCGAAGTGGATTTTGTCCATCGGCATGAGGTTCCAATTCTCTCCTGTGGCAAGCAGGTGAGTTGACTTTCAATGGTCCCAAATGATTGATGATCCCAGGGTCCCCAAATTAAGAGTCATGCCTGCTGAGCTGCAATCAAAACCCGCGTAGATGAAAGGTAAAGGACAGATGGGGCCATAAATTCTAAGTTCGAATATCCGTCGAATTGAAGCTTTCCCATATCATCTTGCTTTGTTTATTTCTATAGTTATACAGGCCCCGATCATGCAGGTTGATACAACCAGCAACTCGGTATATTGATCGGTCGATCAGCCTCCAGGTTGCAAGGACACAGCGCTCCGCGCCCAACGACTTCCGGCCCAATCGCATGATCAAGGCGGGATCGATGGATCAATGGATCGATGGATTGACCCCGGAAAGCTCGCGGACCCGGGACTCGGTCCGGCTCACCAAGAGTGGGGGAAAATCGGGGCGCGGTGGCTGGGCTTTCCTGTTGGTTTCCCTGGCAAAACCTGAAACCAACCTGAAAAGAGTAGCCTCGGCTAAAAAAGCAACCGCCATGGGATGTGCAAGAGAGTTCTGCTTGCCTCGGGCATCGGACCCATTGAAGTTGCTGGAAAGGGCCTGGGACCTCGAGGCTCATTTCAAGGTACCAAGATCCTTGATCCTAGTTCCCCCAGGATCGTGCCAACTTTTACCGTTTCTTCTTTTTTTTGGGGAGGGTTCGGGACCCTACTAAAATAGACCACAGCAAAAAGGGGTACCCTTATTCTATCCTCTCTACTGGACCAAGATCCTTAGTTGGCAGTTGACTGGTTGCTGGTCCAAAAATCGGAAACTGACGGACTTATTTTGAATGGAAGGGTCCCTGTCGCGGTTTCAAAGGCAATTCAGGGGTGTCTTTTGTGCCGTGTCGTTGAGAGACACGGCGCTCCGAGAATTAGGCCTTGGCTGGCCGCATCTCGATTTACCCAGAGGATGTGCCAGGAAACAGGCTCCTTGGGGCTGGCTCATTACTTTTTAGAATTAGTTTAGTACTGTGGGATGGACAAAATCCTGCACCTCAGAGACCCTGGAAGGATGATTCCCCTGTAAATTCCAACAAAGAATGGTTTCCCATGGTTTCAAGCGGTGCCGGATTTTGTCCATCACCATATTGGTTGAATATTGGTCTAGTCTTGTCGGAATATTACTTGGTTCTGCCTTTGTACTTGCTTAGTACAGGTGTAGTTTGTATTGGTTAGTATTGTATTGCGTCGTGTTGTGCTAGCATTGAATTGGTATTTCCTTTGTATTGGTTGTCGTTTGGTATTGCCTCAGTGGCTCGGAAACCCTCTTGTCAGGATGCCCTTTGTTGGTGATTTGAATTGGTTTGTTTTTGTTTTCCACTTCTGTTGTAGGGTTTCTTGGGTTTCCCACTCCTAACCACCAATCCAAACCACCCTTTTCGAGAAAAACTGATATGAGGCATTATTATTTGTTCCCTGTCCCCCTTTGGAAACCTCCAAAGGACACCGTGTCCTGAGCCTCCTTTTCAATCTTGCGGTTGAACTCAGTCTTTCCAACTGGATCCCTGCTCAAAGACAAGCTTTCCAAGCCCAAAACAGATGCTCGTCAAACATAAGCTTGTTTTGGGAACACCGACACATTTATGCAATGCCTAGCCGGTCTTGTTTTCAGAAACAGGAACATTTGGGGGACAACTGTCCTGTCTCCTTCGTTGACCTACCGATTTGTTTCGTCGCTATGTGACGTTCGAGGATGAAAAACCCTGGTCAAAAGAGAACGAACCTGCTCGGGCCAGTGGGTTCCTTGTCCAAGTGCTTGCTGATTTCCAGTTGGAGTTATTTACAAGTTGCCATGCGTGGTAATGCTGACCCAGGATTAATAAACCTGTCCCATTATTAGGGGGGTGTTCCCTCCAAAAGTAATGAATCCCCACAAAAAGGGGACACCCCCCTATTAATCAACCAAGGGTTTATTAATCCGGGGTCAATAAAATCCCAAATAGAGTTGAACATCACAGGACCTTGCAGCAAGACCAGATAGGATACAACCAACAAAAGCGATGGTGTATGAAAAAGGGAACCCAGGCCTTTGACCATCTCTTGTGGTTACACCTCAGAATTCACAACCATAGGTTTCTTCTAGGGAACCCATCCTACGAAGTGGTTGAGCCCCAGCCATGGATACATCCGCCAGGGCAGCACCAGGACATCCCGAGTGCTGCAGAGGACCTGCGGCGGCCTCGAACAGATGGCGGGCGACGGGCGACTGCTCATGCGCGTGCTGGGGCGGCATGACTTGGTGGGCCATCCGGCTCCTTAGTTGTTTTTTTGCTTTTTCAGGTTTAGTGGTTGGGTTTCCAAAGCCGGAACATTCTTCATATTCTATGGTGGGCTCACACACATCCTCCCTGCAAATGATGTCCACAGCCACGGTGCAAAAAGCATCAAAATATGTTTGCCGACATAAGAATGGACTAGACAAGTAGCAATAGCATAGTTGCACAATCATGACCAAGTTCGGCTTTTGTGTACCCCTCCCGGACTCCCAGCCCTTCGAGTCTAGTTATGTAGACCCTTGCATTTCCCGCATAGTCGACCTTTGTGCCTCAGCTTGCTGATGTCCCCGAGGTGCGTTCAACACCACGCAGCATCGTGACAAGGCCCCGGTCGCTTTGTTGCAGCAAAAGCATCGCCTGCTGCTGTATCAAGCTGCCCCTTCAATGAAACTATGCAAATACGTTGCTTGTTTTTCTTTTCTCGAATGGATCCCCCTAGTTGTGCTCAGTGTTTAGCATGCGGTTTGTTTTTGAATTCTGTTTATGTTTAGTGGTGATTCCGGAAGACAAAGTTGTTTGCGAAGCCAGCATGAAAAGAAGGGTCGAGTTTCCGTTTGGTCTCCATTCAAAGCAACCCCGAAAAGGCATTTCCTTCACGAAAAGATGGCGGCCATATTCCGGCCATTGCCATGTTTTCACACCAGAGCCAATCCAAACCACCAACTGGAGGGAAGAATTTGAATGGGGAACCACCTCAAAAAGTGGTTCGTGGACATGAATCCCCACCCTAAATGATGTCCACCATTTCCGGGTCCCTAACCAAAATTCATGCCCATGTTTGTTTTGGTTTGTGTTGCGTTGTCGTATTCCTAAGCCCACTTTGCACCACCGTGTCACCCGGAGGTGATGCAGGGCAGGCAGATGAGCGCCTTAGACCAGCAGCGGGGCACCCGGTTGAGAGACAGTGGAGCCTTGTGGTTCCGCCGTGAAATGCATGGGGTTGTTGTAGGGGTCGTTTCAAAGAGAAAGTGAGAGAAAGTGAGAGAAAGAGAGAGAGAGAGAGTGGAGCCTTGTTGTGTCCGTCATGAAATGCATGGGTTGTCGTAGGGAAAATGAACTTGACACCACCAGTTTAGGGCTTTGTTCCAGTTGTGCACCCGTGAGCATCATTGGACCTATGGACGGATCAGGATCTCCATTGGAAAGGCTCAGATCTCAAACAGGCCAAAGTGCACTGGGAACTACCCTGTTTGAGGTTGTTGCGTGCACATTTTATCAGGAAATCCTTAGTGGATGCTTTGATTGGTGGTTTGAAATGGTTTGAAGTGTTGAAAACCTGGTTCCTGCTATCCTACCAACCACCAATCCAAACCACCAATTGGGGGGAAGCTGATTTAAGCTAGTGGGGGGAGGGACATTGCTCAGATGTGAAGATCCAGACTTCAAGGCCCTCATGGGACAATTTTTGTTGAACTGAACCGACTGCAACTGCCTCCCTGCCACTGGTCATCGCTTCATGTCGCCCAACATTGAAAGCATAACCCTTGCGTAGGGGGCTACATTCTTCATTTCCCTGGGGTGCCGTCTTCACTGACATGTAGCTTCTACGAGGCAGTGAAGGGATCCATGCTCCAAGAAAGCCGACCTTTAAAGGACCTTTTGGTTTCCGCCTGTCTGGCTTTGTTTTAGTCATGGCCCCAAAAAATGATCACGTTCCGCCGACTTTCTATAATAGTTTATTTTAGTCCTGGCTCCGAAAGGAGCAACTAAATAATTCCACAACGGAGTTGTTCTGCGCACGCAGGCCAGCGCCTCTTTCAAGGTACCAAAAAGAAAGGGCTCTTTCAGGGCCTTAAGAAGACAAAAAGTGCGGGTGGTCAGAGACAGCCCTCGAACGCCGGGGACTGAAGCTTGAGGGACCTTGTCAGGCCGCCCTTCCTATACTTGATAGACTCCTTCAGTACCAGGTCTGGTTTGGGACTCGTTTTTTTGGGGGTGGGACACACCCAGGCAATTTCACCCAAGTTGGAAGGAAAGCCCACCTTTTGTGCAGACCTGGGGGGTTCAACTCGCCCTGCGCCCCGAGCGCGGGGAGTAGCCACTGCCCAGGAAGCACGAATGGACCCGCCGAGTGGCGGCCGAGCGCATCCAGAGGCCTTTGCCCGTCGCCCGGGCTTCTTGGTGGGCCCGGCCATGCGGTTCCTTGGCTTTGGGGTGCTTAGGGCTCTATGACCACCCCATCACGGGGCCGTTTTAACCCAGAAATGGGCGGTTTCGAGATACAGCTAAAACAGCACGTCCCGACTCTAGTGGTAGTTTCCCACTAACCCGCTAAATGTGTGTTTGTTTCTTGTTGTTTCCATTTAACCCAATACATCTTCAAATTTTAGCAGGGGATCTGAGCCCAGCCCAGATGATATGCTAGTTGTCCATTAAACCGCTAAAAGTGCTTGTCTTTTGTTCTTTTCTCGGGGGATCTGAGAACAGCCCAGCGGTTCATGAAGCGCAGTTGGTTACTGCCTCGGTTGAGATGGTACGCCAAAATGGAGACCAAAAGAATCTGTCGAGAGAAGGATGGCTTGGGATGCCTATGTACAGAAGCTCTTGTGCTTACTTGCGGGATGCAACCCATTGGCCTCTCTGATTCGTGTACCAATTCCCCCAGCAGAACCCAGTGGGCGCTTCTTGGGCAGGTGGGATAACTCTGAGCTTCACCAACTGGACTGCCCAAAGACCATCTTGAATCCTCCCGATTGCGGAAAGTTTGTCGATTGATAAACCTAGTG